TGGACCATCCCTCACATTCTAAACAACAGTAGGGTTAGTTCGTTCAAATAAACCGGACCTTGTTTTCTTTTCAGAAACAAGATCATGTTTTTTCATGTCTAGTCAATGTTTCTTTGTTGATGCTTGGTTTAGTAGTAGCTTGGTCCCCTGAAATTGAGGCTTCAGTGTTTTTTCATTCAAATTTTTGCATTTGTACTCGAATTAATGAGAATGGGTTTCCGTATGTTGCGGTCTGCGTTTATATGAGTTGCAATATTGCGAGACGTGCTATGCAGTAAACCCAGTTGCGCGAGCTATGTGAAAATGAAAAAGATGGAGGGAATCCATGGAATGCATCCCAGTCTTTGGATCTCCGAAATCTCATTCAAATGCTAGGTCTGCATGATCCCGGATTTCAGGGTGACCCTTTCACGTGGACCAATAGACGCATGGGGTTGGCCTGTATTCGTGCAAGGCTTGACAGAGCTCTCTGTTCTCAGAGTTGGATAGATCGATTTCCGGAAACTCTTGTTACGCACTTCACGGATCAGGGATCTGATCATAGAGCACTACTACTCTCAGACAAGCCCTATACTCGGATGTGTCGCCCTCTTTTTCGTTTCGATGCAAGATGGGCGAATAATCCCGAAGTCAAGGCTATGGTGTCGTACGTTTGGTAAGAAAACGTTCCTGGTACCCCCAATGTTCCAATTTTGGGAAAAATTGAAGAAACTCCGACATTTGCTGTATGATTTGAGCTGAGCTGGTACCACGAATTCTCTGCAAAATATTCATACCTTGCAAGGCGAGATTGATCGGCTAAAAGCCATTCACCCTATTGATTGGCAAGAGGTGAACCGTCTGGAAACTGAATTGAATAGGAAATGGGAGGCCGAGGAAAGTTATTGGCAAAAAAAATATCGCGTTAGATGGCTTAAGAAGGGGGATTAAAATTCGGCATATTTCCACACGGTCACAAGGGCACGTCGTAAGCAAAACTTTGTTGTTGGTCTATATAATTAATGAATGGGAATGTACCACGGAGGAGAACAGAAAGGCTGATATTGCCACCAATTTCTATCAGTCCCTATTCACATCAGAAAACCAGATTGAGAACATGTATGAGAGAGTGGCAGGTCTTCCCATAGACCCCTATGTTACTCCAGCAATGAATGCGAACCTGACTGCTGAAGTTCTCCCTAAGGAAATTCGGGATACAGTTTTCTTATGGGATCAAAGCAGTCGCCAGGTTCGGATGGATTTACTGGCAAATTCTTCAAAGCATTTTGGGGTATAGTTGGGGGATCGGTGATCCAAACGGTAAGCTCATTTTTTGAAACTAGTAGGATGCTCCGAAGGTTTCATCACACTTGGTTGACTTTGATTCCCAAGGTGGATCAAGTTGAATCAATTCATCAGCTGCGTCCTATTAGCCTCTGTCAATTTGTGTATAAGGTGATAACTAAAATTATGGCACGGAGACTAGCTTGTATATTGCCCCAAATTATATCCGATGGCCAGAATGCTTTTATTCGGGAGAGCCAGATTGTGGAGAATATCCTTTTAGGGCATGAGTTAATGAATTACCTGAAAATCAAAAACCGTGGGAAGAAGGGATATATGGCTCTGAAGGTTGACATGAAAAAGGCCTATGATAGAGTCGAATGGTCCTTTCTCCTATGGGTTTTTGGAAAAAATGGGGTTTAACTCGATCTGGAGAGGGTGGATTCAGGAGCGCCTCCAATCTATGACTTTTTCAGTGCTTACGAATGGTACCCCGCCTGGGTTCTTTTCCCCATCCCGAGGGCTCAGACAAGGTGATCCGCTATCTCCCCTTCTTTTTGTCATCTGTAAGGAAGGATTCGCGGCTCTCCTTCGTCAAGCCATCTCGGCAGGGAAACTACAAGGAGTTAAAGTGGCCCCTCGAGCACCTCGTATCTCACATTTGTTCTTTGTCGATGATTCTTATCTTTTTCTTAGAGGGTCCCTCCAAGAATGTGAGAATTTGATCGAGGTTCTCAACGAATACGAGGAGCTGAGTGGCCAGAGAGTGAATCTGGAAAAATCAGCTGTCTGCTTTAGCAAAAATATAGCTACAGCAGATTAGGAGTTCTTGGCGGCAATCCTGGGAATAGGGGCAGTAGGTGTCCAAGATAAGTATTTGGGTCTCCCCACTCTGATAGTCCGTTCTAAAATGACTACTTCCCGTTACCTAGAGGAGAAACTACTGGCTAGATTGCAGGGGTGGAAGAGGCGAACATTGTCGTGGGCTGCTAAGGAAACATTGATTAAATCAGTGGCATTAGCTTTGCCTCTGCATGTTATGTCCTATTTTAAGCTGCCCCTGGCTCTTTGTCGCCTTCTTGACAAGCATGTAGCCCGATTTTGGTGGGGGTGGAAGAGGGTCAATATAAGATTCGTTGGATTTCCAGGAGGAATATGTGCAAAAGTAAGCATGAAGGGGCATGGGGTTTCGCCGGTTTGAGCATTTCAACCAAGCATTGCTAGCGAAAATTGGTTGGCGTGTCCTTGAGGAACCCAAGTGCCTTATTGCCCAGGTTTACAAAGGAAAATATTTTCCCAATGGGACGTTTCTCACTGCTCAGGCTCGTTCTCATCCCTCATGGGGGTGGCAGAGTATCCTTTTTGGCCGCCAATTGTTGGAGTCAGGGTTACGATGGCAGATTGGTAATGGTCGGAAGGCTCCTTTGCTCACATCCAGTTGGATTCCTCAGCAACATCCCTTTCACCCAGTCTATAATCTGTGTGTGGTTCCTGATGGTGAGGGTTTGAAGGTCGAGGAGGTGATCCAACAGGGGGAGGGACGATGGAATGATCAGAAACTCAGTCAATGGTTTGATCCAGAGACCTGTAAAGCCATCAAGACCATCCCTTTGCCTCGCCAGAATATTGAGAATAAATTGATATGGCATCCGACATCTGATGGCATTTCACGGTCAAATCTGCGTACTACGTCGCAGTGAATTTGGATCGTCAGAATGGTCATTGGAGGGCTTTGGCTAGTTGGATGGATAAGGCAAGTTGGATTAGGTTGTGGGAGGCGGATATCCTTCCGAAGCTTAGGGTGTTTATCTGGCAAATCTTTCATAGAATTCTTCCTACTACGGAATCGCTGCGAGAGAAGAAGGTGGATGTTTTGCCTCGGTGTCCGGTGTGTTGGGCGGCTTCGGAAACTCTCGAACATATGTTCTTGGAGTGTCCGGTGGCTCGTGCATTGTGGGATCATTATGGGCTGGCCCACATGGGTGAAGGTTTGCCTCGCCATACGTTCCCGCTCTTTCTAAAGAAATTGTTGGTTGTGGTGCATCACTCTGCTTTGGTGATGTCTGTAGTTGATGTTCTGTGGCGGATTTGGCGATCCCGTAACTGGGTAGTCTTTGAAGGCAAACAGTTTGGGATCACTGCCTTGATGCGGCAATTCCACCAACAAGTTCAGGAGTGGATTAGCTTACCAAGGGATCGGACTGATCAGATAGCGCGTCCCCCTGCCCCTACTCTAACACCAGATGGAGCTGACATGGCAATTTGTATGTGGGATGGGGTTGTTCAGTCTGGGTCTCATGCGGCTGGGGGGGGAGTGGTTATCCTCAATTCGGATAGAGCGGTCATCCTAGCAAAGGGGATTCAATTTCTGATCCTTGTGGATCCAATGATGGTTGAAGCTCTGGTCCTCCGGGAGGCGATCATCTGGTGCTTGGCAAACTGATTCACTATCATGAGGTTTGAAGGTGATGCCCAGGTGGTAATTGAGAAGATTCTCCAAAGGATGTTCGGGATAATCGGATAGGGGCAATTCTGAAAGAGATTGTCAACTTTTTTGCTTCAAACATGGCTTTTACTGTACAATTTGTAGGTCGACGAAACAATAAGGTAGCTCATTTCGTAGCTAGGCATGCACTATCTTTGTTCCCGACTACAAGTCGATCTTTTAATTTCCAGGCCTGGCTGAATTCCAGGATGTAACGATCTATTTGTTTCAATCTATACATGATTATCTTTTGTAAAAAAAAAATATTTTTCTTTCAGACAATTAAACCGCAAATAAACTCATATATTACACCAAATAACAAAATACAAAGGAAATAAACAAACTACATTGTTTTGATTATTGACCTTCACTTACAAATATGACTTGCCTTCAAAGAAAATTTGCAGCAGCTAGTCAGCAGCAGCAAAGAGTTCATAACGGAAGAACTAAAAGTTCATAATAACACAATTATCTCAATGAGTGCACAAGCACGCAAAAAACAATTGAGAAAAAACAACGATCACAGTATGTCTAGTAGCAGCAGTGGCGGTCAGCTTGATTCTTCTTCCTCCTTCCCGCTGGCGCTCGAGTAGCAGCGGCAGCAAATTGGGGCTGGTGTAGGAGCAGCAGAGGGGAGCGGACGATTCTTTTTCTGGTTAGGGCGGCGGATGTGTTGGGGAAGGATTATTTGGTTAGGGCTAGAATAGAAATTGGGTTGGGGTAAATATGTCAATTTGTTTCATTTTAGAGCCATAAAATTTGAATTTTAGGGCGATGAATAGCTATTCAGTTTTATAATGGGTAAATGCCACATTTGGTTACTGAGATTATTAAATCATATCATGTTTAGTCACGTGAAAAAATTAATATCAATTTTTGTCACTCGAATTACTAAAACATGTCACATTTAGTTATTCTACCATTACTTTCCGTCTAACCCCATTAACGAAGTTGGACGGAGGCTAACGGAGAGTGACTAAATGTGACATGTTTCAGTAATTCAAGTGACATTCATAAAAGAAGAAATTAATTCGAGTGACTGCAATTGAACGGAGGCTAACGGGAAAGTGACTAAATGTGACATGTTTTAGTAATTTGATTGCCAAAATTGATATTAATTTTTTCTAGTAGTAATCTCAGTGGGTAAATGTTGCATTTACCCTATTTTCTAATTCTCGTAGGAATTAGCTTAAGAGAGGGTTGTCGCAGTTATAGTGTCAATGTCAACATGTTTCAGTTGTAAACCAACAAGCTACTCTCTATTACCCAAAGCTCCGTTGAGTATAATGCAAGGCATTCAACCAGTTTTAACTGGGAGATGCCTTGTACATTAGAAATACGTCTTTCACTCTCACCTCATCGACGTACATAGAATACAGAGAAATCAACATGAACTCATTATTTGTCACCTCTATTGGCATAAAAAATTTTCGATTTCAACCTAAGTTCTCGTTCATCGAAATCCAGAAAATGCAACATGAAGTCATTATTTGTACAGGGCACATGCAACGCTATTCATCCCTCCGTGAAGTTTAGGTCCCAATGCACCTCCCTCCTTATTTAGTGCTTCAGATGAAAAAAATATAAGTAAAAACAGACCATAAACTAAGAAAGACCGAGTTTCTTCTCACAGAGAACTGATCTATACATAATAGTTACCCAGAAAGGTCGGGAATAAGCAGCGACTGCAGTTGCATAAGGAGGAAGATGCTAATTCGGGAGCTGGGATTGGAAGATATCATGGCCAGAGGTTTGTTCAGTGACTGGGCACAGTCTGAGAGAAAAAGAATATGGCACGGCTGGAACTAAGAACTTCTCATGAACGCATGGTGACCAACTGTCATCCCCTCCCAAACCCATATGTTTATGGTCCAGATGCACCTAGAAATTCCAAACATCGCGAGCGATTATTCAACACAAAGTTCCAGCTGAGGAAGAGTGAAATTTAGCAAGCAAGACAGCAAATTACCTCGATGTCGTTTCCTTCAACAAGCCTTTCATTATGTGTTGCCCGGTCAAGTTCAGCAGTGGAATAGTAACTAGCACTTAATTGCATGGGTGGGGAACTACCAAACATTGAGGCAAAGATTCCTACCCCATCCTTGTTCTGGAACGTTACCCACCTCACATCTGCCCTGCCGCCACATTCTCCTGGTACTATGTACGGAACATGCATGTCAGCTAACTTTTGTTCATAAACTCCAACATGAGCAGCCGCTTTCCTGTCTGGGTAGCACTCAAATGGCCCTCTTCCATACCATCTGACCTGGTCTATGGTCTTCTCTAAGTGCAACTCAACTCCAACACGGGGCAAAGGTGGTAATTCAGAACTCGGGGTTGCTTTGCACTCAACGATCATGTCCCCAGTACCATAGATAGTGTAGGTCATATTCACTTCAAACAGGGAAGTTGAACCATCCCCGTCACCAGGGACTCCACTGTAAACCACTTCGAGTTTCACCAGATCGTTTGTTGAGTTCTGGATGGAACAACTCTTTGTCTGAAATACAACTGAGTCTAGATGATCTGCTTTCCACTTGGAGTAGTAGCTGCGATCTTCCCCGCCTTTGTCATTGTCGGTAGGTGCTCTCCAGAAACATGGGAAGATTCCATTGATCATGACAGGAACTTCTTTAACCTGTGAATTTTATTTTATGGGACGCAAAAATCACTATGAAGTTGAGCTCACTGGCTATGAAGATGTTAAATAGCATAAAAGCTGAGCAATGCTGCAGAAGGACATGAAGAAACAGACGCCTAAAACGATGCCAAACCTTACAAGAGATTTTGTTGTAGCTTCTGCTTCTACTTTTTTTTTTTTTTTTTCCTGAAGTGCAGCAAGTGCTAGTAAAACTGTAAAAGTGAAGTAAAAGTGTCTGGTGGGGGTTTAGAAAAACATTTAGTTAGTATGATAGGCTTCTGTAGTGAAAAAGGAATTGATGAGGTTTGTTTAATAATAAAAACGAGTGAATTTTTGGAAATGACAAATATTGCTTGTATGATACATATATGACCTTTTTGTTACTTTGTACTTTTTGTAAGAGTCAAATCTATGTGACCATTTAGATCAATTAGCCTTTTTTACGTCATTTTTTTTAAGCCGAAACAAACACAGCCAAAATGCTGCATTATGAGATTGATCAAGTCAATGGGATAACCTGAAAGCAATTAACGAAATCACCAAGTGCAGATGTTCACCTTCCAGCACGTAATTGCTCCACTCGATTTGTTGAATGTTACCTCCCAAACACTCTGATGGCTTATAGTGATGAAGTCCTCAGCAACAACGGTGGAGAGCATAGCAACTTTAGTCTTGAGGGCCTGGGTCCAAATCATAAAGCAAATCAGTTGCAAGGAAGATAGTAGGAAAAGATAAATTTTGGACCAAGAAAAATAATCTACATGAGGTAAGATCGATTTTCTGCCAGGCAACTGTAATTGGTTGGAGGAAATGATGTGACCGGCTTCCAACCATCGTGTAGACTGCAAAAGCTTAGCTGTTATGGTCAGGAAGATCTCTCCAGCAGTTGATGAATTCCATAGGGAATACCATGGACCTGACTCCCAATCCACTTCACAACTTTTCTGAGGTTCTATCAGGGAAAGAGAGAGTTTTCCAGATCCAAGTTCAATTCCATCACCATAAGCAGCCCAAATGAACTCCAACAGTTGTGTAGTATCAAAGAAATTAGTATTTGTTATCTGCAAATTAAATCGGGGTTAAATGTAAAAAAGAGAAGGGAGCCAGGATGAGAAATGACCAATCTAATTGAAATACTTCAGCATAAGAACCTTCAGCTTGCCATCCTTTAGTGAAATCTTAATTGGTTGGTACACGTGTTTCACTTCTGCAATCAGAAACCACTACACCATTAGTCAGATGTTATAACATTTGATCGATGAGGGGCTCAAAATATGACACAAGATCCATTATACCGTGCACAGCAGGGTGAGGAGTTCTATCAGGCCACATAAAACCATTCAGACAGAAGTTCAAATCATTAGGTGTATCCCCAAAATCTCCTCCATATGCCCAATGTTTACAACCATCAGTAGATTCTTTCAGTAATCCCTGCAGATAAATTGTGAATGTGTCAATCTCACAGGTGGAAGGTATTGCTCTTAATGATGTGTCCAGCTCCAGCATCATCTTCAGGAATGAGAAGGAACGGAGTATTTTTTCCTCAGCCTCAACCTTTAGTCTCTCTAATCTTGCGGCTCAGCTATAAAGATCACCATAGTTGCATATCCTATGATCCAGAACTTAATTCATTCCAACCCCACTTAACGTAGGAAGATTATTTATGAGTTTCTTTTAGGCACTTCATGCCCTGTCGGTACTACGAAAAGATTTCAAACACGCCCCTCTACTAAGAGTTTGAACTTACACATCCTCCACTAAAAACTTTACAATGATGTCTTTCTGTCAAGTTTTTCATCACATTCCCATCAAGTATGAGTCAGACAGACACATCTGCCCTATAGAAAATGGGGCGGGATCCTGTTTTCTGGTACAATAAGGAGTGGCAAGAAAATATGATTTTATATTCTACATCAATCACTTACCGTAAAAATAAAAATAAAAATCACTCACCGTACCAAAGGAAATATAAATGAATTCCATACCTGGTCAACCCAGTCCCAGATAAAGCCTCCTTGGAGACCAAATGTGTTATCGATCGCCTCCCAATATTCATCTAAGCTCCCATTGCTGTTCCCCATAGCATGTGAGTACCTGCCATTAGGACATGACAGATACCCGTAAGTAGAACTAAAAGAACACAAAGGGAGAGACACAACCATTTGATGCATTGCCAAGGAATTAATTGAAAAGCCAAATTGAGGTTCCTCCTCTGATGGGGAGAAACATAAAATTTCCAAATAAATACAGGAATCTTACTCGCAAAGTATCAAAGGACGCAATTCAGATGGATCTTTTGCAATCTTCACTATGTCCCAAACACGCATATACATGGGGCATACAATATCTGTAGATGAAGTTCTAGATCCCCCTCCTTCGTAGTGCAACAACCTTGAGGTATCCTTTCCTCGAATCCAACCTGAATGGAAGATTCTACTGATTCAAGAACACAAAATGAACCTAGACAGGAAGATAAAAGATAGCAAATGGAGATTGAAATACAACTAGCTATATGCTTTTAGGATATTGTGGAGATTCTTCAACCATGTACTTGGACAATTATGCTGACATCACTAAAATTTTCTGATCGAACCAAAGCAAGCCATGAGCCCTTCAGACATAAACATGATTCTTTGTGAAGAAGAATTACTTCCCTTGATTTTGATAGCCACCAACTAAGTTTTCTGATTGATCTAAAGCCAGCCAGGAACTCTTCAGACATAAACATTTTCCCTTTAGTAAACAAGAATTACTTCCCTCAATACCACAGCTACCTATTGTCTCCCATTGGCTTTACCTTGTCAAAAATAAATTTCAATCCTCCTTCAAACTTAAGTTTGTCTTACTTAAACTGAAAGCTACAATAATGAATCATCTAATGCCATTGTCTCATTTTGGTTACGTTTCTTAGTGATGTCAGCAGGAAAGATGCTTATGCCAGATTGACTTCTAGAATCTATAGATAGCGAGTTTTCACTTTACAAATTTTAGACAATTACTTATAATTCATGTTCTTTCTAGAAGCATGCCCTGGGAAGATATAGATTTTTTTATTGAAAGAGATTGAACAGCTTTGTGTCAATTTCCAAATGTAGCTTCATTCTACTGTTTGTCTAATTTATCCAAAAAGCACATAACCTTACAAATATTAAGCATATGTGTTGGTAAGATAGAGGCACCTATTAAGCATCCCTTTGGTTACCTGCTGCAGCAGAATGATTGGGTCCGTATGAGGACTCATTTCCTAATGACCAAGATATTATACAGGCATGATTTTTGTCTCTCTCTACCATGCCTATCACACGATCCACCATTGCATTAGCCCAACCAGATTCCATTGCAGGGGGCATCAGATGTCCAGAGAGATGAAACCCATGAGTCTCAATGTTAGCTTCATCAATCATGTACATGCCAAAGAGATCGCACAACTCATACCAGCGGGGGTGTTGGGGATAATGGCTGTTTCTCACAGCATTAATATTGTATTGCTTCATAAGAACAAGATCCTGCGGAGAAAGGATAGTAAACGTACCCAACACTTTAATCTACTTAAATTTAATAATCAAAGTATATAAGAAACAGATAGGATAAGACTAAAACATCACCTTAACCATGCAAGACTCTATGTTAGTTTTCCCAACACGCGGATGATGTTCATGCCTGTTTACACCTCTTATCATGACTGGCTGCGCATTAACAAGTAATTGTTTGGGGGCCTTTGACACTTGTCGTATGCCTACCACACATGATTCACAGTCCACTAAGTGCCCTGATGCATCTTTGAGGGTGACAATAAGAATGTACAGGTTTGGCTGTGAATGAATAAAACTAAATGTAAGCCATAATAAAAGCCATACTAGAAGGCCAAACAAAGAAAAGAAACAGAAATTTTCTCAGGCTCAAACTACTTTTTTGAAATAACATAAATTGTATTTATAAGGCAAGCAGGATAGCTTTGCAGCTCCATATGTTGCGCAAGGTATGTGAAACCAGCCAGTGAGGTAATAGAAATGCAGCAGACTGCTTTAGTTTATTCGAGCACACTCCTCACCTGCTCAGCGGACCAAAGCTTTGGCATGTCGAGCTTCCCAGAGAGTGTATAACCAACAAAACCCAAAATAGCATCAGATGAGGGAATGGTGGTCAAATTAACCACAATATTTGAAAGCAGACCAGAACCATCACTGGTATACCAGCTCCCAGTATCATATAATGCAGCATTTATGCTAAAGCTGACACAAGGGTCATCCTTAGGACTTGCTCTGGAGTTGTCTATTTTCACTTCGACCTGCATAAAAGCAAGGAGGTCACTCCTAGCCTATCAATTTCAGATCAAAGTTTCAAGATCTTTGCATAAGAACTAAAAGTGGAGCAAAATTTGGCATCAAGAGCACAACACTCAAGAGTCATCAACAAACATGGAGAAGCATTCAAGAAGAAGTGACAAAAATAAAATACCATAAATATTCTCCACCACTGACCAAGCAAATAAGTTATTAGACCCAGCGCATTGCGTATCACTTCGTAGCTTAACTGCAAGTGAAAAAAATAGTAATCTTCAAATTGGTACTCACCTGAATATCTGAAGAAGAAAAATTCTCAGCCAGGCTTGACTTGAAAAAGTAGTCCGCAATGAACACCTGTACATAATGTTCAAAATGTTACCTTTTTGTTTAATGACACCAAAGAGACAGGACCAAAACCTTATAACAGAATGTGATTCTTTAGTAGTGTATAATTACCTGTGGTTTGGCAAGAAGAAGCACATCACGATGGATACCAGATAACCACCAATGATCTTGATCTTCAAGATAAGATCCATCACTCCACCTAAGCACTTGAACAGCCAAAACATTCTTCTCTTCTGACCCAATTGGATGGCAGTTGTCTGATATTTCAAACTCAGCAGGTAACCTACTATCCTGACTGGGGTAGAGTGCCGGTAAGAAGGCTAGTTACTGAATAAAGCATGACAGCTTTGTTGAACTTCTTGAAGCATATCAAACTACATAATCGAGTGGGTTTGTGGAGAGCAACTACCTCCAAATTAAATAATAGTTTGGAATTTGGATTCTATGTTTGAGTCGTGACAAGGAGAGAATAAAGGTATATGATATGGAGTGCATACCTATATCCCACAGGCATGCCATTTATCCAAGCAATAAAAGCAGAATCAACAGCCTCAAAGTGCAAGAAGATCCTACGACCTGAAAATGTAAACCGAAGAGCAAAAGAAAAGTTAGCAGGGCATTATACAGGAAGATATAGAGACAAGCAACTGCAAAGAATCTTGCAAAGAGAAAAGGGAACACTATAGTTGTTACCCTCCCATTCTTTAGGAATTTGGAAGTATGTTCTGTAACAGCCTGTAGGATTATCATCCTGTGGAACATGTGGAGGGTCGAGAGGAAATGGATATACGACATTTGTATATATAGGCTTATCAAATCCATGCATCTGCCAATTTGATGGTACTGTTCCAGCCAGTGGAGGATCAAAAACATTAGGCATGACATGAATTTGTCATAACATAAGTATAAACAGATCAAACAATAAAAAAGATTTAGCCAATAATGTTCCTGTTGCTTTATGGGTGATTATGATCTCAGCTTTCTGCAAAGAAGGAAATTTATTTTATAATGATTACCATTCCTGTAATTCTTCAATGCTAAGGATGTACCTTACCTGGTAACATGCCCCACTCAGCATCCTGAAATGCAACATCATGGAAAGCAGGTGGAACTTTGGCAGGGCAGGGAGCAAGGAAAAATTTCCAGAAGCCAGACAAAGACTTCACATAAGGCAAATCCTTGACCCACAAGGCAGCAGAGTCAAGAGCTGCTTGGACGGCATCATCATCCCAAACAGCAGACTCGAATACCGAAAGATCCACTTTGTTACGCTGATGCCAGTATTTTAAGGATCCTGTTCACAAGCAATGATTGCCATATTGTCATGACCCCAAGAAAAGACATCACAAGGATAATAAGAAAGGTAGGAGAGGAGAGGAGAGGAGAGGAGAGGAGAGGAGAGGAGAGACAACACATCTCATAGCAAAAGATCAACTTTTCTGTTAGTTTGTTAAGTATCAAAATTCCCAACTAGATTTAAACTCGTACTTCAGAAGAAGGAAGTCTATTTAATAATAAAATTATCATTCCAGTTATTCTTCAATACTTCATGTTGACCCATAATAACCCTGTTTCACCATTTTAATTCAATGTAAGAGCACAGTACGTGAAAACGGGCAAAACAAGAGGTATTTCAGTACAGAAGTCAATCCAATCCACAAACGAAACCATAATTCCCATTAAATAACCGCGAAATTCGCCTATCAAGAAACACGCAAAGGGAAAAAAGAGGTTCCTTCAGGAACAGAAATTTCAAAGCAACAACCTTCAACAGATTCATGGCAGCGCAAAGGCACGTGAGGTTCTCTCTTCCTCCACTTTATAAAAGAGGGATCCTCCCAAACTCTGTGGGAGACATCTTCAAACGGAAAAGCACCCATCTCTGCGAACCCAACCAACAGAAATCAAGGATTTTAACACCATTAATGCCTCTTTTTCATTCTCGTTCAAGAATAACTGAACAGAATGGAGGAATGGAGTGTGAGAGGAGGAAGCTAATTACCTGGGCTGGGTAGTGAAAATGAAGTCTGTAAACGGCGATCTGTGTGCTCTGGAACGTAACTTGACTGTGGAAAGATCCGGGAGGAAGAGAGCGATTGAGGCGTGGCTACATAACTAAAATCAGAAAAAGGATGAACACTTGGATAGAAAGAGTGAGAGTGAAAGTGAGTGAGTTGATGACGAGGACGACGACAGCTTCGTCGTTTTGGGCTTTGTTTATTTTTCCTTAGCGTTGAATACAACTTCCACCCTACAGCTTCACCGTGAAATCCTGCACAGGTGTATGAAGAGATCGAATGGGGCAGTTCAGAAAACTGATTTTGGATCTGAATTTTCCCGAGCATTGGCATCAACGTACGGTCCCAAGAGTCGGAAGGTGTTAGTGCCGGCCGGCAGCTCCATTATCCGTCTAGTGAGTAGTGATTGATCCCACTGACTGGATGCGACGTCGTTATAGTTTGTCGTCCAAGGACCGGGTAACCCCACCGTGCATTACTTTGCTTGGTGGAGCTGGGATCAGGATAGCCTCTTGTGATAGATGAATAACTAGCTAATGCGTGCGTAATTAGGTGTGGGTTTTTTTATTCATAAATCATAATAGATTGTTTATAGCATTGATGATTTATCAGAAAGTGCATTGTTATAAACGCGCTGTTACGAAATGGAAAATCGCCGGAATCGATAAAGTAAGAATATGAAAGCGAGAATCGAAAAATACAAACACTCGATTTACGTGGTTCACTAACACGATGTGTGTTAGCTAGTCCACGGGCGAGAGAGAGCCAGTTTCAGTATATCGAGGAGATTACAGATTACAGTGGAGTATGAGAAGTATTTAATATTTATAGTACTTCTCCATGTGGGTCTAAACCTAATCCAATATGGCAAAGGAAACGGTTACAGACCAGGCCCAGAACCCGAACCCAAATAACATTGAGTCCATACACCGCGGGTAGGGCGCGTTGCCCCTCGACGCCACTCGCTGCCTGGGCAGCGAGACCCCCGAATAATCCAGTCACAGGGGTTGATAGTCCGATTCAAGTCACATCAACAAATCTCCACCTTGACTTGAATCCTCTTCCTCTGAGATCTCTGATGTACTCTCCTCCTTCTCTCTCTCTCTCTCTCTCTCTCTCTCTCTCTCTCTCTCTCTCTCTCTCTCTCTCTCTCTCTCTCTCGCCATCAATGCCCCGTAGGCGCGGAGTCACCCACTCAAGACATTCAGCAAGTCCAAGCAGTGTTCGCCCTTAACTTTTGGGCTTCAGTTTTTGTTTTTTATTTTGAATAAAATAAACTGAAGAAAGAGGAGAGATAGACGAAGCAGAGCTTCTCCCCCAAATTATTTAGATCTCAATTCCCAAACCCTCCATAAGAACGAAACCGAAAATCGAGCTCCATCACTCGTGCCTCCGCTACGTTGTCCCCCATGGACAAAGACAAATCGTTTCTCTTCTGCTGTACGAGTTCCGTGAACGGCATCAATGCCATAAGACAACCGCTACCCAGTCTTTGCGCTCGATTGTAGATAACTTCCCCTCTCCCCACAGCGTACCATCTAGGAAGTCAATGGCACCGGCATGAAGAGGAATGGCGGCGCTAGTGAACAAGCCATGAAGGGAGAGGCCGACCAGTGACTATATGGATCCAAATCGAGGCCTGTGAGACAGAGACAGATCCATCTGCGACAGCGACTTCTTCGTCGGTCACGACGGCAGATGCACAGATGTGGCGGCAAGGAAGATGGCGACGGTCTCGGCGACGGAGGTGGCTTTCTCGGTCTCGATCTCTATCTTGGTCGGTGTAGCAGGCCTGGAATCCGGCGGCAGGGGAGAAAGAGCGACAAATTCCTCTGGCTCGATCTCAGTTTACTGCTGCTGGTCGTAGTTGTGGCGACGCGGCAGAGCCTCGATTGAGGACCCGGTCTACAAAGAGGGTAAGATGGTGGTGATTGTAGGGCTAGCTAGTCGGGAGTTTCTGTTAATACCGGTGACGGCGAACTGGCGAAGATGGTGCAGTGCTGGTGGACAAGTGACGGCGAGAGGCAGCGAGATTGTAGGTGCAGTAGGTCGATGGCGGTGATGACGGGAGTAGGAGGCTTGATGGAGTTACTTGCAGCCAACGGCGGCTGATCGGGCTTGTCTTTGTTTTTGTTACCATTTTATAGGTCCAGTAAATCAAGGAGTATTATGAGCTATGAAGCATGTCTGAACCCCTCTGAAGCTTCATTAGTTTTCGACGAGCTCCATCAATGTTGCATCGAGCTTCTTCACCTCCCCGAGGTTTGTTATCCATTTTATTTCTGAATTTCTATTTTCATTGTTCCGTTTCTACCAAATTTTGTCTAAACTTCCCCTGCTTTCAGTTCACCCTTTCCCCGACTAATACATTTTACTTGGAATATGCATTTTATCTGTATAATTGTTTACTCGACAATTTAATAATGGGCTTAGACCTTCATGTCTATGATGAACTTTTGAGCTTAGATTTTTTATGGGCTGGTTGAACTGGTGTTTGGGATTTGGTTGGTTACAGGAAGGGTTTAGGTTTCTCCATGTTGAATGCAAATGTTTGGGATTTGGGTGGTTACAGGAGGATTTAGGTGTCTTCTTTGTTTGAGTTTTACTTTATAACAAGAGGGACTGATGTAAATGTATGAGTACTTGTTGCAGAAGAGGTAGACTAAGCTAGGATCCGATAAACCATGCCTCTGCCCCTCTTTTGGAGCTCCCTCTAATCCAGTATGCAGAGGATCATATTTGAACGAGTTGCTGCCTCTTCACCTATAATGTCATAGTCCACTATTGTGAAACATCTGATTTCAATCGACAATGAAGACAGGAAGAGAATACAAGATAAAGTAGTTGTATTTCAATGTGATGTAGATGATCACAAAAAGTTTCCTGATTTTTCTTTGTGAGTATATCGGGATGTTTGATACAGTGAAATGATCAATTGGATTTATGTAATGTTCAATTTGATTAGAATGTTGTGAGCATTAAACCTCTTAATTGGGTATGTAAACATTGATGAATGAACTTTTATAGTATCATTCACATTGATGTTCTAAATAACTCTCTAGTTCTTTAAATGCTATTAATATAAGCAAATTATCATCGTGTAAACCAGTTTCTAAAATAAGTCAACGGTAGAAGTCTCTTGATGGTCAAATCCCGTGTCCATTAGTACAACTTGTAATGGGAAATCCCGTGGCTATTTTATCTTAAAGTCACGGGTTATTACCCGTGATTAATGATTAGTCACGGGACTTTGCCGTGATGATCGAAACCATTTGTCATGGGGTACTTCCCGTTGTCAATGATCACCAGTCACAGGATATCCCCGTGACAATTATCCTTTGATCACGGGCATGCTTGACACGGGAATATACCGTGACAAATGCTTTCCCTCACGGGAATTGGCTCTTTAGTCATGGGAAATCCGGTGATCGAAGGTGAATTTTCCTGTAGTGAGCATAGTCCGAGTCAGAATACCTAGACACCAAGCACTCTGTATCACTTACGAAGCTAGTCCCCACATCAGGTGTACCCTTAAGGTACCGGAAGATCCTCTTCACAGCCTGCCAATTTCCCGGGTTGTATCATGAACCTGCTGACAACACTAACAACATGTGCAAGATCAGGTCTAGTGCATACCATAGCGTACATCAAGCTACCTACTGCACAAGCATATGAGACTCTCGACATGTACTCCTTCTCAGCCTCTAACTGCGGTGCATAAGCTGAGGATAGATGAACATTTGAAGCACTAGGAGTATTTAAGGGCTTGCTGAAGACATGCCAAACCTCGACAGTATCTTCTGGATGTAGCTCTTCTGTGACATGAAAAGCTTCTTCTTCGACCTGTCCATGTAAATCTCCATACCCAAGATCTTCTAAGCAACTCCCAAATCCTTCATCATGATTGACCATGTCCTGTTGCAATGCGTATATATTCTAATTTTTTTTAATGTATTCTAAGTATGCAAAACGACCTAAAAATTCCTTTATTTTAACTCATCACTCACGGCTTTCTCATCCAATGTTGTGTGAATGGATAATATGATAATCATATCAAATTTAGTTGGTGAAGTTGATCATACGAAACCAACCCTCCAATTATTTGGTGGATCAGTTCGTGAAAACACAGAATCTGTGTACCTAAAATACTAGAGTGAGTTCTCGAACTTTTATTGTATCCGATGTTCACTGCAACATGCTCTAGCAAAATCAATTTACTTCCTCGTGTCTTTTAGGGGAGCCGTCATTTAATTGGTACTGAAAGGATCATTAATTCCTGTATTTGAAGCAGTACGGCCTGATTAACCTCAATCAATAGTGGTATGTATAGTTACTTCAGTATATATGGAGAAAACAAGAGGTATTTCTGTTGTATGAGTTTATTATACTGAAGTAAACAAGAGGTATTTATGTTGTACGGGTTCATTATACTGAAGTAAACAAGAGGTATTTCTGTTGTACGAATTCATTTACTGTAACATAAAATAATTATCATTTCTCATTTATATGAACATCATCCAATCACGAAATTGCTTCATCATTATTTGGAAAGTATTACTTCGCACCCATTACTAAATCCATAAGTAAATTACATTACGCAAAGTATTTATAGATTTACAAAAGATAACTTTGCTATATGTCATTCTTTATGCTAGACTACAGAGTGTCAAAACACCATTGAAGATGTCTCTTATGAAATTGCCAATGAACGAGCAAAAATAGGATCAATTGCATACTTAACTACATTTTGATTAACTACTTCAGTCATGGTAAGACCTTTGTTAATTTAAATTTATCTATTACCCTCTTTTCAAATCTTCATACTAATCATACACCACTATTATTTCAACTTATTTCATTAAAAATGTTGTTTCATTGTAGGGAAATAACTATATTGTTGCTGGTTATATCCATGACATGAGAGTCATTTGGGAATTCACTCGTTCTTTCTACAATTATATGGAATTTTAGGAGTTAAGCTTGCTTTCCCTTCTTCAAGATATGTATTTATTTTCTTCTTATTATATTGTTAGCATGGTTATTTTCATAAGTTTGTGGGTAAACTTTCCCGACCAAGGGTCGGCCCCGGTGCCAGTGATATAAAAAAACAAGACAAGCTTCTAGAAACAACAACTGAGTTTCAAGTAAGTTGGGGCTTTAGACGGACCAAGTCATATCTATTTTGCTTTCGAGTAAATTGGGTCTAGGAACTCCATGATTTAGATTGTGTTTTTTGTTATGAAATTTGTTAAGTCTTAAATACGATTTGGTTTAAAGCAACTATGATCATGGATTGATATTAAGCTGATTCGAGCCTAATTGTACACTTTTTATTCTCGATTCTGTTTGACGTTTGTTGC